AAGTGAGGTTTGTTTGTTTGTAAATAGAAACAACATAAACTGACCAGAGGAAAGTGAGGTTTCTTTGTTTGTAAATAGAAACAACATAAACTGACCAGAGGAAAGTGAGGTTTGTTTGTTTGTAAATAGAAACAACATAATCTGACCAGAGGAAAGTGAGGTTTGTTTGTTTGTTTGTAAATAGAAACAACATAAATTGACCAGAAGAAAAGTGAAGTTTGTTTGTTTGTAAATAGAAACAACATAAACTGATCAGAGGAATGTGAGGTTTCTTTGTTTGTAAACAGAAACAACATAAACTGACCAGAGGAAAGTGAAGTTTGTTTGTTTCTAAATAGAAACAACATAAACTGACCAGAGGAAAGTGAGGTTTGTTGGTTGTAAATAGAAACAACATAAACTGACCAGAGGAAAGTGAGGTTTGTTTGTTTGTAAATAGAAACAACATAAACTGACCAGAGGAAAGTGAAGTTTGTTTGTTTGTAAATAGAAACAACATAAACTGACCAGAGGAAAGTGAGGTTTGTTTGTTTGTAAATAGAAACAACATAAACTGCCCAGAGGAAAGTGAAGTTTGTTTGTTTGTAAATAGAAACAACATAAACTTACCAAAGGAAAGTCAGGCTTGTTTGTTTGTAAATAGAAACAACATAAACTGACCAGAGGAAAGTGAGGTTTGTTTGTTTGTTTGTTTGTAATTAAGCACAAAGCTACACAATGGGATATCTGTCCGCAGACATACCGCTGTGCCATGGAGGAGCAAGAAAGTGAGGTAAGACGTTCCCCTTCAGGAAAATGACCATTGTACGGAATAAATTTATGTTGGAACAAGATGAAAACCAGAAATTTGTAGAATAGTCTCAGGTCCATTTTACTACCGGAAGAAGATTAATGATGTACAAAGACAATGAAGTAAGGGTGATAAATTCGAGTCGATACTAAAGTTTTTTTCTGGTCTCACAACGTTTTTGAGCGCCATTCATTCAATGTCTTCCGGATGTTAACGTGTTTCACCATTCAAAGGAATAAATCAGTAGAGTAGAGACACAGATGATTAGAGAATTAAGCCAGTTAGTATGAAAGTTGAACATAAATTGACCAGAGGAAAGTTAGGTTTGTTTGTTTGTAAATGGAAACAACATAAATTGGCAAGAGCTATATTATAACAGAATATAAATTACAAACAACCACTGAGTTCGTAGGAAATTTTCGACAGTTTTAGTCACCATACAGTAATATAGCTTGCTTAAAGTAATAATCCTGCTGTGACACTAGAGTAGCTCTTTAACTGAGCTAGTAATAATATCGTTGTGACACTACAGTAGCTCTTTAACTGTGCTAGTAATAATACCGTTGTAACAATACAGTAGCTCTTTAACTGTGCTAGTAATAATATCGTTGTGACACTACAGTAGCACTTACAACGATATTATTACTAGCTTAGTTTAACATTAGAGTAGCTCTTTAACCGAGCTAGTAATAATACCGTTGTAACAATATAGTAGCTCTTTAACTGAGCTAGTAATAATATCGTTGTAACATTAGAGTAGCTCTTTAACTGAGCTAGTAATAATACCGTTGTGACACTATAGTAGCACTTACAACGATATTATTACTAGCTTAGTTTAACATTAGAGTAGCTCTTTAACTGAACTAGTAATAATACCGTTGTAACAATATAGTAGCTCTTTAACTGAGCTAGTAATAATACCGTTGTAACAATACAGTAGCTCTTTAACTGTGCTAGTAATAATACCGTTGTAACATTAGAGTAGCTCTTTAACTGTGCTAGTAATAATATCGTTGTGACACTACAGTTGCACTTTAACTGAGCTAGTAATAATATCGTTGTGACACTACAGTAGCACTTTAACTGAGCTAGTAATAATATCGTTGTGACACTACAGTAGCACTTTAACTGAGCTAGTAATAATATCGTTGTAACAATACAGTAGCTCTTTAACTGTGCCAGTAATAATATCGTTGTGACACTACAGTAGCTCTTTAACTGTGCTAGTAATAATACCGTTGTAACATTAGAGTAGCACTTTAACTGAGCTAGTAATAATATCGTTGTGACACTACAGTAGCACTTCAACTGAGCGAGTAATAATACCGTTGTAACAATACAGTAGCTCTTTAACTAAGCTAGTAAAAATACCATTGTAACAATACTATAGCTCTTTAACTAAGCTAGTAATAATATCGTTGTAACAATACACTAGCTCTTTAACTGAGTTAGTAATAATACAGTTGTGGCACTAGCTCTTTAACTGAGCTAGTAATAATACAATTGTGACAATACAGTAGTTCTTTAACTGAGTTTGTAATAATACCGGTGTAACAATACAGTAGCTCTTTTACTGAGTTAGTAATAATACCGTTGTGACACTAGACTAGCTCTTTAACTGAGCTAGTAATAATACAATTGTGACAATACAGTAGTTCTTTAACTGAGCTAGAAATAATACAGTTGTGACACTAGGGTAGCTCTTTAACTGAGCTTGTAATAATACATTTGTAACAATACAGTAGCTCTTTAACTGAGCTAGTAATAATACAGTTGTAACATTTCAGTAACTCTTTAACTGAGCTAGAAATAATACAGTTGTGACACTAGAGTAGCTCTTTAACTGAGCTAGTAATAATACCGTTGTAACATAAGAGTAACTCTTTAACTGAACTAGCAATAATAGTTGTGATACTACAGTATTTTTTTAACTGAGCTAGTAATAATACAGTTGTGACCCTTGATTAGCTTATACTAATTATAACGCTTTATAATAATACATGTACAACTTTGTTGTTCAACGCCATTTAAGGAATACACTTAATGGATACATGTATAACTTTGTCGCCATATAATAATAAACTATACTTTTCATTTTCCTTCAGAACAATAAATCAAAAACATTAAACCAAGTGTACAGTTCTTACTCTGTCCTAGCTTAAACTATTAAATCAAGTGTAACATTTTTACTTTGTCCTCACTCTAACTGTTAAACCAAGTGTAAAATTATTACTCTATCCTCACCTTAACTATTAAACTAAGTGTAAAATTCTTATTCTGTCCGCACTTTAACTATTAAACCAAGTGTAAAATTCTTACTTTATCCTCACTTTAACTATTAAACCAAGTGTAAAATTCTTACTCTATCCTCACTTTAACTGTTAAACCAAGTGTAAAATTATTACTCTATCCTCACCTTAACTATTAAACCAAGTGTAAAATTATTACTTTATCCTCGCATTAACTATTAAACCAAGTGTAAAATTCTTACTCTATCCTCACTTTAACTATTAAACCAAGTGTAAAATTCTTACTCTATCCTCACTTTAACTATTAAACCAAGTGTAAAATTCTTACTTTATCCTCACTTTAACTATTAAACCAAGTGTAAAATTATTATTCTGTCCGCACTTTAACTATTAAACCAAGTGTAAAATTCTTACTCTATCCTCATCTTAACTATTAAACCAAGTGTAAAATTATTACTTTATCCTCGCATTAATTATTAAACCAAGAGTAAAATGCTTACTCTATCCTCACATTAACTATTAAACGAAGTGTAAAATTATTACTTTATCCTCGCATTAACTATTAAACCAAGTGTAAAATTCTTATTCTGTCCTCACTTTAACTATTAAACCAAGTGTAAAATTCTTATTCTGTCCTCACTTTAACTATTAAACCAAGTGTAAAATTTTTATTCTGTCCTCACTTTAACTATTAAACCAAGTGTAAAATTCTTACTCTATCCTCACTTTAACTATTAAACCAAGTGTAAAATTCTTACTCTATCCTCACTTTAACTATTAAACCAAGTGTAAAATTATTACTTTATCCTCACTTTAACTATTAAACCAAGTGTAAAATTATTATTCTTTCCTCACTTTAACTATTAAACCAAGTGTAAAATTATTATTCTCTCCTCACTTAACTATTAAACCAAGTGTAAAATGCTTACTCTATCCTCACATTAACTATTAAACCAAGTGTAAATTCTTACTCTATCCTCACTTTAACTATTAAACCAAGTGTAAAATTCTTATTCTGTCTTCACTTTAAGTATTAAACCAAGTGTAAAATTCTTATTCTGTCCTCACTTTAAGTATTAAACCAAGTCTAAAATTCTTACTCTGTCCTCTCTTTATCTATTAAACCAAGTGTAAAATTCATATTTTGTCCTCACTTAACTATTAAACCAAGTGTAAAATTCTTACTCTATCCTCGCATTGACTATTAAACCAAGTGCAAAATTCTTATTCTCTCCTCACTTTAAGTATTAAACCAAGTGTAAAATTCTTACTCTATCCTCGCCTGCCATCTTCTTTGTCTTCCAAAAGAATTCAAGGACAGCTACAACAGTTGCGATGGCGAGTCCTCCTAACAGCACCACAAATACGCCTCCAACATTAGCTAGGCCTAGCTCTCGAACAGAACTTGAGCCTTTCTTCGATTCAACGCACTGCCCGCCCCCTTTCTTTTGTTTCCACCACCTTTCTTTCAGAACGTGAAGAATACCACTCTCTTGGAGCTTGAGAATACCACTGGATAAAGGGGTTCTATATATAGAACCTGTAGAAAAACATATTTAAAATGAATACCACTGGATAAAGGGGTTCTATATATAGAACCTGTAGAAAAACATATTTAAGATGAATACCACTCAATTAAAGGGTTCTACATATAGAACCTGTACAAAATAATATTAAAGACGAATACCACTCAATTAAAGGGTTCTACCCTGTATATAGAACCCTTATATCCAGTGGTACTCAGGTGTTCTGTATATAGAACCCTTATATCCAGTGGTACTCATGCAGGCTCTATACATAGGACCCCTTTATCCAGTGGTATTCATCTTTTATATTATTTTGTACAGGTTCTATATAAAACATGAGTACCACTGAATATAAGGGTTCTATATACAGAACACCTGAGTACCACTGGATATAAGGGTTCTATATACAGAACACCTGAGTACCACTGGATATAAGGGTTCTATATACAAAACACCTGAGTACCACTGGATATGAGGGTTCTATATAAATAACACCTGAGTACCACTGGATATAAGAGTTCTATATACAGAACACCTGAGTACCACTGGATATAAGGGTTCTATATACAGAACACCAGAGTACCACTGGATATGAGGGTTCTATATACAGAACACCTGGAGTACCACTGGATATGAGGGTTCTATATACAGAACACCTGAGTACCACTGGATATAAGAGTTCTATATACAGAACATCTGAGTACCACTGGATATAAGGGTTCTATATACAGAACATCTGAGTACCACTGGATAGGACTAAGATGTGTATTTATTAAGAATATATATATTCTAGGTAAGTAAGTAAGTTATAATAAATAGATGGAATTTCCTTTCCATCCTTGAAACTTTGAAAATCTTGTCATCTCCCTTAACAGTGAATATATAATTCATTCAATTATAATAATCGCCTTTGAATTATTTTACAATTTGAGTGTGTATAATCACTCCTCAAGTAAAGATGTTCAGGTGTTTGAGTAGACACAGATAATGAGAAAACCTAGATCTTATGTCTTAATATAGAAATAATTGTTGTTGAAACACTGATGTCAAAAGATGGTGAGAAACCGTTCTTATGTCTTAATATAG